TCTCAAAACATACCTGGGATACATCAAAACTCACCTGGGATACACCAAGGACATTGGCACCACCCAGACCCTGACTGGGACCCCCCCAAAGTACAACCCAAAACTCACCTGAGACACCCCCCCCAAAATACACCTGAGCCAGCTCTGGCTTCTCCTGCACCCCAAAATACAGCTGGGACCCTGCCCCCCAAATACACCTGGAAATTCCCAAAACACGCCTGGGATGCACCGAAAGATATTGGTAGAACCCAAAACTCACCTGGGATGCCCCTGAAATACACCTGGGATTTTCCAAAACACACGAGGACCCCCTCCCATGGGTGCTGGGGGTGCCCTGTGAGGGTAAGGCTGGTGGGCAGCCAGGGGTGCACCACCAATTGAGGGGTTCAGGGGGCTGCGGTGGGGAGGATGGGGCTGGGGGCACCCATGGCCCTGCTTGGACAGGGGGGAGCCCAGAGCGCTCTGTGCTGGGCGATGCTGGTGTGGGGTGACCCCGAATGTGCTGGGTGGGTGGGGGAGGCGGGGCCTGCAGGGCTTGGGGGGACCCCCGTGTGTGTGTGCACAGCGTGGGGCGGCTCCTGCACACGGGCACAGCCCCGGAGTGAGCCCGGCCACACACACATCGTACACACGCGCGCACACCGCAGGCGTGTACACGGCACACGCGTGTTCACACACATCGTACACACGCGCGCACACCGCAGGCGTGTACACGGCACACGCGTGTTCACACACATCGTACACACGCGCGCACACCGCAGGCGTGTACACGGCACACGCGTGTTCACACACGTGTTCACACACGTGTTCGCAGCCGCACACCCCATGGCGGCCATACCGTACCTCCCGTGTAGCCTCGCACCCCCCTCCCTCCCGGCCGCGCAGCTACTCGAATCAGTGCGGTAGCGGCGCCGCGGCCGCCATTGGCTGGCGGGGAGACGGGCGCGGCTGCCATTGGCTGGCGGGGCGCGGCGGCGTCAGGGCGGGGTGACGTCAGAGGCAGCGCGCGGCAGGACGGGCCGGGGCCGAGGGCACCATGAGCAAAGCGCACCCTCCGGAGCTGAAAAAGTGGGTGCGGGGGCGGCACCGGCGGTGGGACCGGGCCGGAGGGCGAGGGGGCCGGGGGGGAGCGCAGGGGCCGCCGCTTGCCGCTGTCCCTTGCGCCGCGCTGTCATGGCGGCGAGCTGGGGGTCGCACCGGTGTGATGGCGGCGGTGTGGTGGAGGGGGGGGGCCTCTCTCCCCGTTTCCCGCTGCCGGTGCTGACCCGGCCGCCGTCCCGTCTCGTTGCAGGTTCATGGACAAGAAGCTGTCGTGTGAGTCCCGCGACTGATCCCGCCCCCGCGGGGGGAACGGGACCCCCGCTCGCCTCGCCCCCCCATGGTGCCCGGTTTTGGGGACCCCCCCCAGCCCCTGACCCGCTCACAGTGCCCGGGAGCTCCCCCCTGCCTCTCATGGCCCTTGGCATCAGGGCTCCCCCCTTACGCTGGTCCCCAGCACGGCCCCTGGTTTTGGGGACTCCCTCACAGTGCCCAGGGAGGGGGATCCTGCCCAGCACAGCCCAGACCCCCTGGAGCAGCCCCCCTGCCTAATTTCAGGCTTCATAACCCACTAATTTAAATTAAAATCCATTGAAGTTACAACCCACTAAGACCTAATACAAAAATTTAAGTCTGATATTAATTTAAAACTCCCTTTGTCCCCTTCTCTCTCCTCACCTGCCCTGAAGGGCTGCACTAAACCCTCCCCATTAACACCCCCCACTCTCGTGTCCCACCCCTCCCAAGCTGCAGTTTCGGGGTTTGCCCTTCCCTAACACCCCTGGGTTCCCCGCAGTGAAGCTGAACGGGGGCCGGCACGTGCAGGGGATCCTGAGGGGCTTTGACCCCTTCATGAACCTGGTCATCGACGAGTGCGTGGAGATGGCGCCGGGCGGGCAGCAGAACAACATCGGCATGGTGGTGAGTGCCCTGGGGCACTGGGACGGACTGGTGGGCACAGACGTGGCTGGTGTGGGCAGAGCAAGGCACAGGTGTGGTGAACTCTTGGCTGGGAAACGGACGGACGGGTGGACGGATGGATGGATGGATGGGTGGATGGATGGGTGGATGGATGGGTAGATGGATGGGTGGATGGATGGATGGATGGATAGGACCAGGGATTGTTGGGAATGGGGCTACATTCAGCAGTGCTGGGCACCTGTGAATCCCCAGGGCTCAGGACTGGCCCCAGTCCATTTATCGGTGATCTGGGTGAGGGGATCGAGTGACCCTCAATAAATCCATGGGTGCTCTGGGCTGGGTGATAAGGTGGGCATCAAACACAGAGTGGACTCAATGACCTTGGAGGCCTTTTCCAATCTCAGTAATTCTGGGATTCTGTGATCCACAAGGGCTTAGGGTTAAAATCAGTTTTCATCCTTGAGGGGAATTCTGGTGGATCTGTGAAGGATCAGCATTTTGGGGAAATAATGTTGAGGACCCTCAAGTTTGAGGTCACAACTGCTGCACTCTCAACTTTCCCCTTCCAGGTGATCCGAGGGAACAGCATCATCATGCTGGAAGCTTTGGAACGAGTATAACCCTGGAAAAACCTGAATCCCAACCCACCGGTTCCGTTCACTCCCCCAGGATGATGCCCACGAGTATACAATTATTTTGGTTTGTTTTTAAATAAATTTTGTAATGGTTGGCATAACTCTTCCTTGCATCATTTTTTGGCAGCTGGGTGTTAATTCCACTCCCAATCCAAGGAAAACTCAAGGAAAACTTTATAGGAGGCTGAATTTATTGAAGAGGGTGTTAAATTTGTGCTACTACTGGTGTTATTCATGTTATTTCATGACCTTAAAAAACATTCAGGCCAAGAAATTTTTTAACTCTTTCACACCCCAATACAGTGATGGGTATTTGTGGTTTCCTTCTTTCCCACCCATTTGGGCAGCTCCCAGCACACCAGTCCCCCTTCCATAAGCAGTTTGGGAAGCTAATTAAACCCCAGTTTCCACCCTGAGGAATAATTCATTTGTAGAGCCTTCAGAAAGTAGCTGAGAGATGGACAGTCAAGAAGTGCATATTCCCAGCTGAGGAAGGGATATCACAGGGATATGCCGGGCTTCACAGTGATCCTGAGCTGGGAGGGAACTTTTGGGGTCAATATGGCACTTTTGGGGTCAATGTGGCACTTTGAATTACTTCTGTAATCTCAGACAAGGATAGCTGGAGGAGTTTAAGGAAAAGGCATTTGCTCGAGGAAAACACCCTGCCTTGGGAATGCCTCCTGTGCCGCTTCACCACTGTCCTGCCCCTTCCTGGGATGGCCAAACGGCCTCAAGTAGCACCAGGGGAGGTTTAGGTTGGATATCAGGAACATTTTCTTATAGAAAGTGTTGTTCGGCCCTGGAAGCGTTCAGAAACCATGTGGATGCGGCATAATTAGTGGTGACAGTGGTGGTGGTGTTGGAGTTAAAGTCTTGAAGGTCTTTCCCATCGTGGTGGTGGTGTTGGACGTTGGACTCGATCTTAAAAGCCTTTTCCAACCCTATCCCATAATTCTACAGAACACCTTGGATGGGCTCAGCAGGGGGTTCCTGTTCATTAGTGTTAATTAACCCACAGCCCCACCTCCCCAGGGGGTCAGAGCTCGGTTTTGAGCTTCTCATGCAGGTCCTCCTGGTCGATCCTGTCGGAGTGGCCGTGCCAGCGGTGGAAGGCAAGGAGGGCGGCGTTCTTGGCGGCGATGGCACACATCTCCATGGCGCTGGCCACCCGCTCCAGCCCGCTCAGGTAGTACACGTGGTCGTGCAGGATGATGGGGGGGCATTTCTCAGGGGTGCTGTACTGGGGATACGCCAACCATGACTTTACCTTGACCGAGTCGTACGAGGAGAAAAGCAGGCTGAGCTGCTCCTTGGTGAGCACTTCATTGGAAAATATCTTCCAGATGGCTGATTCCAACGGTAGTTTCCCCTCCCCAACGGCGTCTCCCACGGGGTACACCACCTCCAGGCTGCTGATGAACAGCTTGGGGTTCTCTGTGGTGAAGATGCTCCTCAGCTGAAAGGCCTGTGGGTCCTGGTAGCCAAAGAAAGAGGTGTTTACCCGCCCGTGCACCAGGGTGGTGACGGTCTGGTGGTAGGGGTTTGGGAATTCGGGGATGGGAGGGTCGAAGTTCTTGAAGGTGATGTTGGCCATGCTGCGGCCCAGCGGAGCAGCGATGAAGACCATGTCATACGTGTCCTCTGTCAGCCCCGATGATGTGTTGTAGGTGACCTGGTACAGCTTCACAGGGTCCCCTGCAGAGAACAGCTCGGTTATCCCATCTCATGATGGGAGGGGGTCCCATTTGGGTTTATAAACGAGTACCAGCTTAGCTGTCAGCTAGGTTTTGAGCCCTGTTTACATGGAATCATGGAATGGTTTGGGTTGAAAGAGATCTTAAAGCCCATCTAGTCCCACTTCCTCCACGGCCAGGGACACCTTCCACACTCCCAGGTTGCTCCAAGCCCCATCCAGCCTGGCCTTGGACACTGCCAGGGATGGGGCAGCCGCAGCTTCTCTAGGAATTCCATCCCAGACCCTCCCCACCCTCCCAGTGAAGAATTTTCATCCTGAAAGCCCAAGGAGCTGCAGTCATGGAGCCAAGGGTGGTTTCCAGTGTTGCCATTCCCCTCCCCACTGAGGGAAATCCACCCCAACTCACCACTGGGCCTGGGTCTGATTTTTGGCTCTATGGACACAACTGTTCCAGAGATAACGTCGGCCTTGGAAGCATAGAGGAGGCCGGGGCAGACGAGTTTGTTCCCCCCTTTCACAGCCCAAGGACTTGACTGCACCCCAGCCAGAGAAACAGCACCTGCAAGGAAACCACCATCGTTTGGTGTCATTGTGTAGGAAAAGCAAAGTGGAGAATCAGGGGGGATAAACATCCCTTTGAGGCTCAGCTTAGAGTCCAGGGAGCAGGAATCCCGACACCTGTGAAGAGCATGAGGTCCCTGGGACAGCTAGGATGGGAGACTGACCTCCAAAACACTCACCTACAAAGGCATTGATGTTGACTCCTTGCCCATAGTAAACCCTCATGACTGGACAGACAACCTCGTTGATGAATTTGTGGGAGAATCCCGCTCTCTGCATGGCCTCGTCGATGCTCTGGTTCAACATCTGCAAGAAGTCGTTCCCTCCCAGGGCGTGCAGCAGCTGCTCATTGCTGCTGAAGGCATAGTCGTGCATCTGGTAGCGATAGATCCTTTAACAGGAGACAAGGAATTCATTATTATTGTCTTTGTGGCTCGGGGAAGCTGTTGGGGATCTCATGATGTAGTTCCCAGCCCTTTGCAGGAGCAGCAGGACAAGGGCCTGGAGGGACAGGACAAAGAGGGGAGGTTTAGGTTGGGTATAAGGAATTTTTTTATGATGAGGGTGGGGAGGCCCTGGCACAGGTTGCCCAGAGAAGCTGTGGCTGCCCCATCCCTGGAAGTGTCCAAGGCCAGGTTGGATGGGGCTTGGAGCAACCCGGGATAGTGGAAGGTGTCCCTCAGATGGTTTTTCCATCTTTTTTGCACTTTTTCCCTCTCAGGGCCCAACATACCTCATGAACTTGTCCAGGATGTCCTCCACCCACATGGACATGCGCAGGGGGTTAAGCCCATAGTGCCAGAGCAGCTTGAGGAGGTTGATGATGTACCAGCTGCTCTCCTCAAACACAAACTCCTCCCCGTTGTAAACACCAGCGAGGCTGCCCTGGACTGGCATGGCTGAGAGGCCTTCAGGAAAAGGGTGGAAAACATTAATTTAGGGAAAGAAAAGAGCTTTTAACTTCCTGAGACAACCTGGCGTCACACTGATAAGGGTGAGTGACTGGAGATTGGATTCCCAAAGGGTGGAAAGGGGAATTAGCTGTTGACCGGGAGCCAGGAAGTGATCTGAGGTGACTTTTGGACCTTTACTAAGGCATTAATGGGTCACCCATGGGGCGACCATAGTGGGGTCACCCATTTCCATTGGGATGTGGGTTTCCTTTGCCAGGAGTGGGGCTGGGGTACCACAGGGGGTATGGGGAGAAGATATGGGAGAGCTACTGGGGAAAGACACAGCAGGGATACTGGGGAAAGAAGAAAGAGGGCGGACTATTGAGGAAGGGTATGGGAGGCTATTTGGGAAAAGAGGGAAGGGTTTTGGGAAGGATATGGAGGGGCTAGTGGAGAAGAAAGGGAGGCAACCAAGACTTTTTCTTTAGAGAGATGTCCCCCAGCAGAGCGGGATCCAGAGCATGCCAGGGTGATGATTTTGGGCCCAAGGGATGATTTGGGCGCTGGAGAGCCCTGTGATGGGGGATGCCCACTCACCCAATTCCTTGACAAAGTGCTTCATGTGCAGGTTGAGGGGGTGGATGATGGACCCCCCAGCCTCGTAGGCGGCCCCCTCGACGTCCAGCGTGTCCAGCCGGCCGCCCACCGCCGCCTTCTCCAGCACGTCCAGCCGCACGCCCTGGCCGAACTTCTGCCTCAGGAAATACGCGGCGGCCGAGCCCCCGATCCCGCCGCCCACCACGGCTGGGGAACGGGAACGGGACCGGTCACCGCTGTGGGCCCATCGCAGCCCCTGGCCTTCACAGATCCCCCCACGGACACCTCGCTCACAGACCCCCTCACAGTCCCCCCTTCTCACCCTCCTCACAGATCCCCTCATGAACACCCCTCACACACCTGCCCCTCA